GAAAATCACAGGCCTGTACCAATGGAACTAAAGCAGGAATAGTAAAGGATGCTTTTACCTTTGGCACCAGACAGGAGGGAAACATAATTGCCTATACTAATAATATGCTACACTGTCTACCATCTACCAGCCTTGGGGCTAGCCCTGGGCTTACTGTGCAGATGTGGTACAGCACAGGATTATGGATGGCCTCTGCGTGTGCAAGCCTTACAGCCCATAGTCAAGGCAATCGAGAGGCACAGATGCTGAAATGAGGGTTATGAAGAAATGACAACATAGTACTGACCAGTGTGATGATACCCCAAGCGTCACGCTGCTTTAAGGAGTATCATGATTAAATGTGACAATATTAGAAGGCATTTTTATTCTCTGGAGGACTGTATTCTCCGAGATATCAGAATGCATTCTGCAGTGTTAAAGAGAGTCTGGGAGGTTTTCAAAGGTCATTAACCTGTCTGTTATGACAAGGTTTGTCTTACTTATTCAGCGCAGATTTGCTGCAAGATTCATAAAGGATCTATGAGCAGTTTGGACAGATACTTGTTTCAAATGCTTCAGGCTGTTGTAGTATTCAACATCTGGGTTCAAATCCCCTTTTATGTGGCTGAAGTTGTCTTTATTTTCAAGAGACATAAGTATTCTTTGGTTTGTGATATTATGTGAATTCGATGGGATAAAATGCCATGAAATCATGTGCCATTAATCAACTCTTTCTCTGAAGCTTTGCAATGCAGTAAGGTTGAGGGCTTCCTAGATCTATCCATGAGTTGAACTCAATCAAAACAGAACATGTAGAAAACACAGTTGTCTGAACTGAAATAGGAATTGTTTGGGGGAAAGACAATGCCCAGGCAAAGCAACACATTTTCACTCAAGTTTCCAAGAGTATAAAAGTAAACAACAATACTCTTAGGTGACGAAAGTATTTGTTGTTTTATCAAGTGCAAGAACAGCAAGGCAGTGCACCATGTTTTATGCTGTGGGGATGCCTCTAGGCAAATCTGAATAATCACATATGTGCTGATTTTGTTTAAGCATCTTGGATAATTATGGCTTTTGGGGCTGCACTTAGCCTAATTTGTGCTGCTTTGTGTGGCTTGATCAGCAGTTACTTCTCAGTTTCCCCGTCTTGTATGACGCGCCCTTCTCTCTTGTGGTTTTGCTGATGGAAGGACCTATTTGTCAGTATTTTCCATGCTAAAAACATAAGTCAAAAGCAACAATTTAGAATTAAATATGAGGGGACAAAAGGGTAGAGGTTTTCCCAGTAATAACTCCCACTGGTTTGTACAGTCTTCTTGTATGTGTATTTCAGTTTGAGAAGTTATGTGGAGCTCCAGCACTGGGGAATTTGGCACATACGTAATGATTAAAAGTTGATAGCCCTTGTTCTTTCCTCCTGGTTCTGGACAATTCATAGTTTTCATGAGCTATAGTCATTATGTTTTCCTATCAGATTTTTTATTTCTCCTTTTGTACCTTTGTTAATCTGTACCTTGAGAGATTCTTTTCAATAACACCCGTGCCACAGGTAAACCACAAAGCTCTCCAGGACTTCATAGCTGTTGCACATAATTGTACCTAAATACTCTAAATCTTTCTTTAGTATAAGGGGGAACGGGAAACCTGGCCAAGAGGCATTGGGTGGATGAGGAGTGTTGAGGACAGAGGGATCAGTCCAGTAGAAGTGCAGTGGGAAGGAGTTAACTACAGTACTGGAGGTGCTGATAGGGTGGGAGTGGCCCAGGGACAGCCAGGGCATAGCATCCTCTCTGTCAACTGTGCTTTATTTGCCTTGCTCAACTCTTTCAGATTGGACTTGTCAGGCTTTTGATTAATGTGGCCCTAGGATGGTTAAATTTGTCTGAGTTAAATTTATTAACGTGCACCTTGATAACAGGAAGCACAAGCCGTGCACACTCAAAGGAACCACACATCCACCATATACTGAAGGGAAGAAAAATGGGCTGCTGTTTTCCTTCATTATGCCTTGTTTATGTGAGGCTTTGATATTCACTCTAGGCTCCTTTCTCCTTCCTGTCTTTCTATCTCCTCTTCATGTGATGGTGGTGTTGTGAATAATTTTTATTAAATGCTCAGGTCTGAAACTGATGTGAAGAGAGAAAGAAGTGAGCCAGGAACTCTTTGGCTCCCTGGGCTTTGTGTCTCGGTCATGCAACAGCTCGGTAACAAACAGCACAGCTTCCATTCATGCTTGATCGATGTCTATGGGTGCCTGAAGACTGCAACACAAACTCTGAAGCTGGATAGTGATCCCTGCTGGGCTTTGCAGCTCCACAGACTTGCACAAATAGAAACTGGGAGGGTTTCTCATGTTGGTTTTGGTTGTTGTTGTTTTAAACTTGCCCTTCCTGCCATTGTAACAGACTGAGCATCCAGCAAGGAGGGATGTCTTTGCTACTCATTCTAACTGCAGTATTCCCCCTGGTCTTGTGATAAAGACAAAGCCATTAGTTTCCCATTCTGACTGCATGTGGGA